TCATACATGTTTATTATGTATATTTTTGCGCAATTAACAAAAGCAAGTGTTCCGATACTTTTGTCCAGGTACTGTATATTAACAAGTGAATGTTACATATATTCCATAAATAGAATTATCAAGTATAATTAATGTAATTATTAATTAGAAGAATATTATAAAATACATAACTTAACGGTCAACTTATTACTTTTCCCCTACCATCTACAATTTTTATTTTCTTTTACATATCCTCCACCTTCTGATCGTGTCATGTATCCGAGAAAACAGTTTCATTATTTTCATAGTATTTAATGGCCCATTCTTCTGACCCCAAACATACATTTAATTTTCTTTCCTTTAAAAACACAACGCTTGGATATCTTGTTACATAATTTCTGAATATTCGAACAAATACAGCTCCGCTTCTATTATTGTTGTAACAACTCTAAAATTCAGATATAATTTCTTGTTAAAATTGCCTGGCAAAAAGTCTAGGAACCTCTGATGATGATATATTTACAGACGGAATATGTTGATAAATCGTGTAGTTTGCCTTTTTTTTTTATTGATCAATATTTATCACATCTGAAATTTGTCACCGAAAATATATTATAATAAATACCAAAAATATTATCAAAAATAAAAAAGTATAAAAATACGGGGCCAAAAATAATTTTTTATTAGCAATTGGATGTTAATTAAATTTTTTTTCCATTAATAATATTATTAATAAATACGGCAGGCCAAAAATAATTTTCTTAATAGCATTGATGTTAATTAATTAGAGAATAATATATTTTTCGGTGACAAATTTCAGACGTGATAAATAAAAAAAAAGACGGCAAACTACACGATTATATCATTCTAATTTAAAAAACAATTAAAAACTAGAAAATATTAAACATGTGCCAGTAGTACTTGGACTCAGATCTGATTCATTTTTATAATTTTACACACACAGTGAATCTGATAGTTTGGGTAATTAGTATTAGTAATTAAGGAAAAATCTGTTATATCGAGAAGGTTTTTATTAAGGCTTATTTCTTTGAACTTCATCAGATTTTTAATTAGTATTCGCCAAATCGAGGTCTGCTAAACCGTGTATATTTTAATATATATTAATATGTACTATATACTAATACATTTATTTTAAAAATATATACATATATAGCCTTTTTGTCCCACCGTAAAATAGTGAGAATATTTATTTTACCCCTGAGAAGATTTGGCAGACAATTTAAAAATAATATATAGCAATAATAATAATAATAATATTAATATTTAATATATACAAAGTATTGTCATCATCATCAGTAAAAAAAATGACGTAAATGAATTTAATCTATTTTTGTTAATAAATCGGTCGATCAGCGCTAATGGATTACATTTTATCGAGATGGAGAAAAATCAATCATTATATTTATAAAAACAAGAATTGAATACTCTAAAAGTTAATAAAACAAAGCAAAGAATTTTTTTTAATGGTGGATTTGTGAGCACAAAGACATTCTGAAGAGGAAATTGTTTCCTAGGAGCCATCTTTCCGTTGATTTTAAAAATGACACGTTCCTTTTTGGACAACTATTTTGCTAAAAGTTTTACAGCTTCATTCATTGTCGATGATTTTTGTCACACACACACATTCCACTCTTACTTGACCCATTACGAATATTCTCATTGAATAATTTATTGTCTTGGAAAATAATTTCCATGCATCGAGTATGCGAACAAAATCCATTTTTATTTCATTTGCAAAAAAAAAACACGAATTCAACCAACGTTAGAAAATTTTTTTTTGTTTACGGCCACTAGCATCTATTTCCCCCGTTATACAGCGGCTTTGGCTAAGGTATTTAATATAAAAAATTAACATTAATATTAAAAATTAACATTAATATAAAAAATTAACATTAATTATATTAATATAAAAAAAATTAATATTAAAAAAAAAAAACCAGAATTTTACATATTTAACCAGTGTTAGTAAGAAGTTATAACTCCTAGTTTTACGAAATATAGTTATTACATTCCATAAGTAAACATTAGAATAAGCCATGGAACAAAGAAATTCTAGAATAATTCTTAATTTTGATTCGTGCGCTCCATGGGAAAAAACCCTCCAAAATGACTTTTACGCATTTGTATTAATCATTTTGTTTTTAGTAATAATGGACCGCTATATACAAAAATCCCATTCACAAGTTTTTTATAAATCTTTCTTTTTTATTTTCACGGAAAAAAAACAAATAATAAATAACACTTTTTTTTTTCAACATTAACATAATATTAATTATTCGTCTTGTATATATTTAATTTATTCATATGTTCATAGCAGCATTAAAACCATGCTTGTAATGAATTCAACGGAACCAATTCTCGAAAGAGCTTTACTAAATCCTCAACCAAACACCAATGAATATTACGATGCCATCAAAATTTTTGTTGCAATCTGCGAATTTCTTGATCCTTATGACTTGTTGAAATTGGAGTGCGTTTGTAAAAAATTCAGAGACTATCTAAGATCAAAGGATAATGAAGCTATCGAATTGTTATGGAAGCACTCTAGAAACACTTACACGCCATTCAATGATTACGAAGTATTGACCGGAATGTCTGAGAGAGATTACACTAAATTATTATGCATTAAAAATGGCTGCCAACGATGTGGTAGAGGCCGTAATAATATTTACAATAATACTTACAACAATGATAATGTTTGTGTTTATTTCATACCAAAAGAACGTCTCTGCAAAACTTGTTTGACTGAAAATATTATGAGGCAAGTAGTTATCAAAAATCATTTTTCGTTCGATTAATCAATCAATTATTATTATTAATTATTATTAAAAATGTTATTTTTATAGCGAAGAAAAATTTATCGAACAGATACCTAATGTGCGCAAGGAAACTTTAAAAGCAATTCCTACAGTATCTCATAAAGATCCTTTGGGAAAGGGCGAAAAGCAATATTGGATATCGACTTATTTTAAGGTCGATCAAATATTATCAAAATTATCTGCTAGTGAAAAAATAGAATTTCTTATGGACAAGGAGGACGAGTCTAAATTTTTAATTGAGGAAGATAGAAAACGTCATAAAATGATGATAACAAAATCCAAGCTTTTATATCATTATAATAATAATAATAATAATAATGATAATAATAATAATAATAATAATGATAATGATAATAATAATAATAATAATAATAATAATAATAATAATAATAATAATGATTATAATAATTATAATTACAACGATTTTAAAATGTCGATCGATGAGTTAGAAACTGATGAATTGATTTTACAATTAGCCACTAGATTATCGGAAAATTCTAATCTCTATACTTTTTTCGATGAATATCAACATTCTAGTTATATGGCTAATGACGAGTCAGACTTATTAATGATTGGTATGAATCTTCAATATACATAATATATAGTAAAGGTGCTATTAAAGAAGTTTTCTCCTTTTTGCTTTATTTTCAATATTTAAATATTTGATTATATATGTATATATGATAATTTGTTTTTTTATGATTTATACAAGTTATTATTTGCTTATTTTAATTATGAATAAAAATTAATTGATTTAAAAATAAAGTCCCTAATCGGAAAAAAAAAAAGAATTTTAAAATTAATAATCGTTGAAATAATAATTTATATGTATATAATGAAAAAAAGAATAATAATCATAATCATACTTCAAATCTTTCAGGTAATAAAACTGGTGCAACGAGTGACCAAAAATATAACAATATACAAATCCAACTACAAACAATTTTGACCCAAACAGATGTAAGGCTTCTACCAATTATAATCAATTGATCCGATTCAGTGTTCTCAGTAATTTGGATGGTATTCCTGTTATTATTATTATTATCGTGATTATTATCACAAATGGAAAATATTCAATTAAAAAAAAAAACGCGAATAAATAAATAACAAATAAAGCATATCATCATCTATTACATACCAATTTGTTAAAAGCATTGCAACATACATTGCAGCTATGGCAAAAATGAAATTAAAAAGTGTGTAGTTGTAAGTAACACCATTCTTTTCATTATCAACACCATTACAATTATCATCATCGTCGTCATCATCATCATCTAATGCTGAAGCAGGCACTGAACTTTATATTTATAAAAATTGTACAACATTATATATCAATGTGTGTAAACACACACACAACGCCATATTATAATGATTTTTAAAAAAGCATACCCGCTTTCGACAGCAGCCAGCAGTGAATCAGATCGCATGTTACCATTTGACTGGTTGGTCGTTAATGGCACAGCAGTTGCAGTATTAATAGGATGATAGTCTGATTTAGTAATAAATGAATTGATGTCTGTAGCTGCTCTTGATGTGGAATAAGCGACTGCTATAAAAGTGAAAAAAGCTCCAATAATCACAGTAGTGGTTCTTGCACTGTTGGCCGTCTTCAATAAAGGATTACAAACAGGTGAATTGTCATCATAATCACTGCCGCTAATGTTATTACCATCATTATCGTCATGAGGTTCATTGACTACTGCACTTAAAATGAGATATGTGCAATAAAAAACCACCATTGATGATTGTGAAAGACCTGAGCGAGAATTTTTTTCTTGAATTATAGGGTGAATAGATAGAATTGTACCAATAACACACAAAATTAAATTAAATGTTATAAAAAATTGGTTGGTGTGACATCCCGATCCTCCAAAAAATTTGTACATGATGCCAGTGAGAACAATTGAAGCAATAAAAAAGAAAAGCGTTGATCCAATAAGTATATATTTCCACAATTCTTTGTCTTCTTCTTGCCATTTTTCAATACAACTTTCACTCCAGCTATGCACAAAATCTACCAAGATTATCAAACCAACAAGAATAAAAATTGCAGCTCCAATCAACGAAACGGAACTACTCCAAAACACAAAAAATTCATTTGGAATAAAAAAACTAATAACTAGAAGAAATATCCAAAATATTACTTTTGGTCCCCACCACCTAAATATAAAATAATAAAATGTTACTTTTTTTTTTTTTTTGAAAATAAATAATAATATATATATTTATATATCTATTTTTTTTTTTAATAATACCCATTCTGAATAGATGCTCTTTTATCACGAGTGCTATTAACTTTGATTACTAATAATCCTATAATTAAATGAAAAAGCGAAAGTGCAAAACAAACACGATGTACCTAGAGATCAATTGAAAAAATCTAGTAAGAAAGTCATTCGATAGAATAAACTAATAATATATAATATATAATATAATAATCATAATAATAATAATAAATTTAATTACGGCAAGAACACCATAACAAGTTCCTTCAGGACAACTCAGGTGTAGATGTGTTATTTTTTCTAGATGTTTAATCGCCCAATCTGATAACATTAGCCACGCAAGCTTAAAAATTAAAATAATCAATTTTTATTATATTCTTCATCTGATATAGTACATACTAATAATAACGATAATGATAATGATAATTATACATATTATAACTTACCATTGAATTTATTAAAAATATAATCTAAATAAAAAAAAATTCAATTAATATATTCATTTATATTGTGTATATTCCTATATACTATATAACTCACAGCATATCCAACTCTTGTGGCTATAGAATTATTACAGTTGCATGATTTACAACCTAAATTACAAGCGGCAGCAGAAAAACATGAAATAACAGTAGAAGTTATCCAAGGCACTGCACTAAAACCAAGACAACTAAAACCCAGACCCATTTTTTATTTAAGAAAAGTTAAAAAATAAAAGTGAAGAGAGGAGGAACGTAAGGAGGTGATAAATGAACAATGGAACTTTTGATTTTTATTGTACAAATTGATATTGTATAACAAATTGAAAATCATCTAATCATTCTTAAAATGGTTATACATTGAAATGACTATAATTATTATTGCAAGTGGATTGAAATTTAACACTGGCAAAAATAAATTACAAAAAAAAAAACAGCAAGATTCATCCAACTATTACATATTAGAAAGCTTAAAATACTATAGTTTTTGAACCTATTTTCAGAATCTTTTGCAATTTATCTTGTGATACCTCTTATGGATGTATAAAAATTTTTATACTAATACTAAAGCAGCAAATACTTGACAAAAGAGTATTAGAGAGATTCATCATATAATAAATAATAATAATAGTATTGACTATAGTTTAGCAATTCATTAATGCACAAAATCAAATCAAGAATACTTGTTTTTTTTTCGGATGATGTTTGTAATTTGATTTTCTCAGATGATATCATAAAAGCTCTATTAACACCAATATCAATAATCTATTATTACAAAATTCAAAAAACTTTATCATTACGTAACCACTATGACAAAATAAATACATGATATTGAACGATTGGATTTAACAATTAACGATGAGCCATCTTCATTGATCGTGTCAGACTTTATAAAAAATAATAATAACGGGTAGAGATGGTCCACCAACATTCTTACAAATAGAATCAAGTAAATATAAAACAGCTAATTCATGTTCAGGCGGGCACTAGAAAAATGTAATTTAAAAAGTGCGTGTGTGTGTGAGAGAGAAAATATATCTATTTATCTCTCGTTTAATTATTACAATATTGATTTGTTTTCTATTTCTTGTACGATAGCAAAGAATATTTTCTTGAGTTATAATGATCCTAGAGTTGAAGGTAAACACGCAAAATAGTCTTGGTAAACACTTTCAAGATCGATTAACTGTCTATTTATCCATCCATTTAATTAAGTTGTTAGTTGATTAGTTAAGAGTATTAGTCATTGGATCACAGATTTTTTTCCTTAAAAAATCGTTTTATTATCGGTTACATTATATTCAAAGAAATTAATCATAATTGAAGATTTTGACACTTTCAAGAACAAAGGTTTTATAAGTAACAAGAAGGCAGTACTTGTATTTGTAAAAGATCAATGGTAAGAACAATGGGTTTTAAAAAAGAGAAGTGACATGAATTTCAATATATTGTAGTGATTTAGATGAATTGAATACAAGGATTATAAAGAAACAGATATTATTCTGCAGAAAAATTTCACAGTTTACTTGAACATAATAACACATTTATTGTGAAACAAAGTTGGATTCTATGGATCAATATCTTTATTAATTTTTAAGCAGTAGCTCTGGATTCAACAAAAAGAACGTAAACCACTTAATTAACACGGAAAGAGCAATCATCCTGCCAATTAAGGAAAGCTTCTCGCACCAACATATCGCCCCCCTGGACATCGTAGCTTATAAATTGCATGTAAAAAAACCTGATCCGTGATTTAAAATTTCATGTTTTCTTCAGGAATGTATCATATTCGAGGAGAGGAACAGACTTTGCCACTGTTGCAAATTCGTGGAATTAAAATTCAAATAACGGATTATTATTTTTATAGGGATTGTGTATGTAGATTATAAATAATATACCACAATAATAATAACATACAATTTGGATCTAATGAATTTGATAACATGCACACAAGTAGCTAGTGTTTCGAATTCTGGCTGGAGATTACAAAATAGACATTAGTAATAATAATAATAATAATAATAGCAATAAATTACCATATGAAAATTCTGGGTAAAGTTTTTAAAAGTCATATGACGTTACGGCAAAGAATTCTTAAATGCTGATCATTTAAAAAAGAAGTTAGCATTTGCACAACTGGCAGGAGGAGTTTTCAAGAAAATGTTTTAATTAAAGCAAGATCACTTTCCAAGAACCTGCTTTAGGTGAAGATTATATGTGTGGTCATTGCTTAACTGCTTTCAAGGGAACTTAACTGATAAACAAAGATTGGAAAGTTTTTCCTTCTTCTGTAAAAGGAGTAGAGAATTATTGATAACTTCGGCTTTGACCCAACTTTTTATTTGAAAAAGAATTTTGCACAACTTATATGAAAGAAAACAATAAAATTAATCCTTTGCTTAATGTTGTATCGGGACTAGTGGGTTCTATTAATAGGAATTACCAACAACTCCAAACTCCAATCGAGTGGAAGGTGAAAGAAAAGAAGGAAAAGTTGGAGAAGGAAGAATTAGAAGAGAAAAAGAAGTTGGAGGTATATAGCACAAGATAAAAAAGCAGAGATGAATTTGGAGAGGAAATTAGTTATTCTCAGTAATACATTTGATAAGGGTAAAAGAAGAATGGTACAATTTCCAAAATAGGGGACTGGAGGAACTAGTCATTAATTATGATAATAATTTCTCTGCATAAGATTTATCTTTTCTGTCAACAATGATAGATGAGATATCATTATCATCCAAACTCTTATTATCACGATTGTTATTTTTCAAATATTAAAATGATATTTCCTTATTTTTATTAAATAATGATATTTTTATATCCTCATTTTTATTAAATAATGATATTTTTATATCCTCATTTTATTTTATAATGATGTAATAGTAAATAGTAAATAGTAAATAGTAAATAAATAAAAAATAAATATACTGTTAATGACGGAGTCACCGCAGCAATAGTCCTTTCTAAAAAACTAATGTGTTTGAATAGTAATTCAACAATTTCATCTAATATACCTTGATCTTTCCATTCTATCCATCCTTTCGGCCATTTCGGCAATTGTTTTTTTCATTTCAGCCATTGATTTGTTCATTTCTTCTTTTTGAGTTTCTTCTATTTCCTCGCTTATTTCCCTTTGACTTTCATCCTCCTTTATATTTTCATCGATTATTCTGCGCAGATGACATTGAGTGAATGTTGTTGAAGTAGCCAGAAAGTCATCAGGTGCTGGTTTCTTCTCTGTAAAGAAGGACACATTTCTTGTTAAAGAGAGAACCAGTATAAACACGCATACTTTGACAAAGTAAAAATTGATTGGCCATTTTAACACAATAAGTAATGTTTGCAGAATATTCGGGAGATAAAACCATACAGAAAATAATATAGTAGCAACAAACTTCGAATTAGTTATTTGTTCCGATCTCTTTGAGCCACATATCATAAGACAAAATAGTATTAAAAAAACGAGTGCTGTAACTGACAATATCCCAAATAATGTAAGGAATACTACACTAATTGGTTCAAAGAAATGTCTAGTTGTAATAATAACAATCCAGAATATTGGAATGATTATAGCTGGGAATAATATCAAGAATACTAAGATAATCATAAAGAAACAGGGTTGATCATCAATAATTTTTTCAACTTTTTCATTCTTAATTATTGCACCTGTTGCAGCAATTAGATGCAAAGCCATGTTTACAAATGAAAATATCTTATACTCAGCAAATCATCATAGGCCAAAGAAACTACTAGCGGAATCACCCAAGTGACTGTGTTGTATAATAAGTCATCCAGTAATGGCAACAGCACATTTTTTATGGGTCCAGATTCCCCTGAAACATTGAATAGAAGAACAAAAAATACTGGAAAGAACGTGTTAATAATTGCATCATACACGTCCTGTCCAGATTCATAATTTTCGTCGATGATAGATGCTGTCACAAGCGGAAGGAGTAGAAATAAAGTCAAGATCACTTTCTTGCTTTGGTTGAATAGAAATCCTTTGTTCATATCGAATAATAGGATAAAGTTTCCTCGTATATAGACTTATTTTATTGATATCTATAGATAATGTATTCTCAATCAATAAGCATTAATTAGTATATATTAATATTAATCAGAGAATTATTTTCTTTTTTGGACTTATTTATGTAACAACTATGCAAACTTTATTTTGATTCATTTGGATAAATAAAAGGTTATATAATCATTACGCACTTGTAAAATAATACTAAGGAAACAAAAAATATACAGAGAAAATAAAATTTTCCTGGAAATTGCAAAATTGATCAATATGAGAATGGTGCTTTTTGGTTATTTTTTAGATGGAATAGTAACAAAAGAAATGTCTAAATGAGGCAAGAAAAAAGAAACGGGCAGGTTTCCCAATAAAATAGTAAGTAAATTGTTCTTTAAAAATGCGCAAAGTCCAATCTAATTTTGAATTAATTACATTATTGATTATTTTACCTTTTATGAATAAATAAAATTATAAAAATTATTATTATTTATATAACAAAGGAAAAAAGCATTTACTTTATCTACAATTAGCAACACTTTTTCAAATTTCTTAACATTAATATAAGGTATCTCTTTATTCAACCCATTCACATTAGGGCATTTGAAAAAGTATTCGATAATAGATAAATTGGATATTCGAAAAGTAAACTCCGAAAATAAAGAAAAAAAGTAATAAGGAAGGATCCAAACAAAATCTCGAATTCGTAATCAAATGAATTTAGAAACTTTAAATGAACATTTAATGGTAAAGTTAAATGGTCCTTCAGTTGATTTGTTTTTGATTTTAAGTTAGCTTTTGAACATTGGTATTCTAAAGAAACATTTTTAATAAACTTTTAACAAATAAATTTATAAACAAATTATCAATTATTGTTATTATATGTAAAATTACTGACCACTGCACATTGGTTTGCTAATAATGTGGTAGCAATATGCTAATACTCACATAATTTTGAGTTTGAATTTTAGACACTGTGGTGGGTGCTTAGATTGTGTTTTTTATGCTGCTTACTAACTAAAAATAAATCGCGTTCTTAGGTGCACACATTTGTGTTTACAAGGTAACCTTGATCTCGAATTTGATGATTCCACCCAGTTTCCAAGGTTGGCATCGGTCTTTGAGGCTTTTTGTGATGTCAAAGTAAGCGATGAATGGTGGATTTTCAAGAATACCTGTTTACGACTAAGCATCTTTGTGATTATAAGGATTGCGATTCTAGAGTTTTGAAGGTGATAACAGGAGTTTGAAATATATATTTCGTATGACTTTGATTTTGAGTCACTCAAAAACTATCGTCAAGTTTGGGTGACAATTAAAAAAATAGTTTTATGGGTCAAGAATGAATCGGACATGCTGGCTTTTAAACTCGAATAGTAGTTAGCCAATCAGAAATCTGCAACGCCTCCGCTCGCTTTATGCCAGGGCACCAATTTAGGTTGCAATTTTTCATAATAAATACACGAATTGATTCTTTACATTCTGTGGATTTCTTGTTAGTTAGTATATTTCTTTTTTTAATTCTTCGATCACAGTGTAACTTTAAGTCAAATCACCTTACTAAATAATAAAGAATCATTTTATTTAGAACAGACTGTCATAATCATTATTATTCAAATAATTCATGTATGAAAAAATCGTTGATTGGTAAAATGATTTAAATAATAATTTTTATTTCGAGCATATCGTCACTAAAATTTTGGCCCTCGCAGTGATATTGCAACTAGTTTCAGTTTTTTCATACTGGGGAAAAAATTTTACCCTGATACGATCGCTCGGGGTCTTGTTCTCATAACGCGTTAAATTAAATTAAATAGTTTCATTATATAATTTTTAGATGGTAGTTGATTTGATAACCAAACTCCGTCATCGACATGATCTAACAAATGTGTTGGAATTAATAAACGCCTCGGTGTGTCCATCACAACATGAAATCTTTCATAGAGCCAAAGAAAACCTAAATATATGTTACTTCAAAACATTTGAAAGAAGAGCATCTTATTTATGCTTATGGTTATGTTAGCAAACCGCTGGAGAATAAACCATCACTCACAAAAAAAGATTTAATTACAAGATTTTATAAACTCTGTCAAAGAAGGATCTGAATTACAAAAAGTGTTATCCTACCTACATGTAATGATGAAAGATTAAAGTTGACCTGTAACAAATGAGATTAATGAAAATGTTGTCCACGTGAGAGAACTTGCTTTGAGAAATCAAATACCAAGTCATGTGTTATGTGTAGCCTTGAATACAATAACACCATAATATAGTCTCCGTTCTAATACCGACTGACTGTGAAAATGATAATTAAAAACACATTGGTTTTTTTTGTCTGCCGCTGGATTAAATGCTATGATGCTGGAAAGGTTTTAAGATTTTGGTATTAAATCTATTTTAGAAAAAAGTTGGGTCGTACTATGAAATTTCAACATTTCTTTTTGAAGCTTCTAATCCTGCCCAGAAGTTGCCAATGATTCCTTTCATGAATTTGAGTTATTGAAAACTAGAAAACCGGAATTTTCTTATTTCATAAAAGATACAAAGCTTTGTCATTTCCCACATCAATAATAATATTCGCACATTTGTCATAAATTGTCCAAACCAGCACAGAATAATTTACATGTTCAGTTATCAAGGAGCAATTTTCTCGCCTTGTTATTTTAAAAAAAAAAAAAATCTCGCGGTAGCCTGTAATCCTTGGGGTTCTATCGTGGATCTTATTGTCATGCAAGTTAGTAGAATGATCCTATATATAAGAATGTATAAAAAATATTCTCACAAGTGTGTCTCTTCAAACCAAATTTGTTAATTGAGTGTATAAAAAGATAGCATCATGACCAACCAAGAATTAATTAATAAATGACAAAAAGTATTTTGATTGTCTCAATGATAATAAAAATAATATGTTCCCAAGTTGATTTCCAGAAGATATTTGCTTGCGATGATGATAGCATTCGTCGAAACAATAATCCTTTTGCCCTGTAAAAAATTTACTCCGTGATTAGTCTCTGTGTTTTTTCCGTTATTAAACTCTGTTTTTTCCCCGTTTATATATTAATAAATTAAAATATACATTTCCGTGTTTTTTTTACATAAATTAAAATGTATCATATTCACGGAATCTATAGTTCCATTTTTCATAAAAAATGGAGATTTCACTGATATTAATATTAATTAATATTAATAAAATGGATAGAGTTCGGATAAATTGTTGAATAATTAATTAATAAAATGGATAATGATAAAGTTTGAGTAAATTTAATAAATAAATTTTCAAGTGGTCTACTAAAGATGGCTCCTCAATTAATCGAGACTAGTGGCATATGAAAATTTAATTGCAACTAATTGCGTTTCCCATCTTTAAATGTTACTAACGTAAATTTTTGGAAATCACCCTTGTGATTTGACAGCTTTGAGTCCATGTTCTGTTTGAATTGTAATTATTTGAAAGTAATGTATTAAGACTAGACTAGAAATTTTTTTTAAAATTGAAAGCACAATCTTACTGCAGGTTAGCTTGCATGTTCCCTTTTCAAAAATAATTATTTTAATCATAAACAAAATATGGTTACGTAACAATTCTTCCTGATCGTACACCAGATCTAAAAAAGTGATTAATAATTAGTGGTATAATGTTAATAAAATATGGTCACATAACAATTCTTTCTGATTTTGTTTAACCATTAACCTTTGGAAAAAGAAATCATGTAAATACCTTTTTAATTTAATTATTACATTCCTAAATATATATAAAAAATATTAATATAAAAATAGATACAAAAGTAAATATTTTTAAAAAAAAACCATGTTACCATTACTTGGGTTCATAAAACTAATTAACTAACACTAGATGAATGCTTTATCTAGTTGTATTATAGGCGAGTTTGATTATTTGAAAATGCCATATGAGTATTTAAAAACGCAATCGTTTTGTTCTATATTTTTGTATCTTGTTAAATAAATGCTTGATCGAATTGAATGATCTTAGATTCAAAAAAAAAAAAATCCTGAATTCTATTGTACATAATATTTAAAACTTATTCATAGTTAATATTTAGTAATGTTGTTTAATATTGATTTTAAATCACAATTCGTTGACGCATTTTAATAATATCATTAAATATCTCTTTACATTTCTCTTCCTTTTTTGACGATTTGTATATTATTGTTGCTTGATCATATTACCTAATTATTTTAATCGTTATTATTTATGCAGAAATAAAATTTAAAAGAAAAACTAACTGATAAAGTAGCAGAAATAAGAGAATGTCTTTTCGTACCAGCTGTCATGAACCAGATATGATTGGGATTTTAGGCAGTTTGGAAAGGTGATTAATCATAGGATACTTGATGAAAAAGCTTCTAGTTATGAAATCTCATCAATGAATATGCACAAATTATGGAAACAAACACTGGTGACAATAATTATCTTTTTGAGCAATTCACAATTCAATTATTTTAACAAGAAGAGAAACTTTTGGGAATATTTGAAAGTTACAAAAAATGATAAAGCGAATGAAAAAAAGCCAGTAACCCTAAAAAGAACCGGTCATTTAAAAAAAAAAATTTATTACTTGTTATACCAGTGTTTCTATGAGCGCGACAGTGGATTCGTCAGAATATTTTTTTGAATCTATTTTTTGATCGCAAATGAATTCAAAGAGTCACATCACGAATTGAATGATAATAATAATTAATATTAACCATTCAAAAAAAAAAAATCATACAATCAGGATATCTTTTTCAAATAAACATTTCCAAATTTAGAAATAATCGTAGATCCAGGGGAAGCAAACCATACGAATTCACGCCCCATTATAGTGTGATATAAAGAGAAATAATTTGTTTTATATGAAAATATTGATTAAAATGAATAAATAAATAAATAAATAAATAATCAATTAACCCATTAATATATTGGAAGAGACGAGTTTTGTGGATGGACAGGAAATTCCAATTAGAATTTCAATATATTAATTAAATTATTAAATATTCTATGCTCCTAATTTGGATAAATTGATGTATGGTTTTGGAGGGTAATAAATGTGAGAACGATCACGAGAAGAAGAACAAAGTATAGTAATAGATTCATTGCATGCATCTATAGATGTTATTATATATATAATTTTTATTAAATAAATAATTTATTTATCATTTATTAGAGTTGTCGGTAATCAAGCTCCCAAATTATACACACGCCCAGTCCATTCAGCAATAAATAACGTATGAATTTTTTTTATTCCTTCACGTCTTTGTTTTCTCTTACTCTCTCACGTACAAACATTATTTACGTTTTTTTTTCAGATGACCGACTAGCTATAACAATTAGTAATAATAATTAGAAAACTTAAAATTCACATTAACAATAATAGTTGATATTATTATGATTGTTTATTTATTTGTTTCCCACCCATAAAAGCGGACAGTTTGTTTTATTTTTAATATAAAATTCCAAAAATATAGTTTATTTTAAAATTTATATTTACCCCATATTTTTACATTTCCTAATTTGGATATAGTTATATGATTTAATTAATTAATTTTATCATTATGATTCATTGATTCATAATCTAAGGTTGTCTTGATCATCTTATCAATTAGATAAACATAAAAAATCGGTATTAAAAATCCAAATTAAGAAATGTGGATGAACAATAAAAATTATTAATCAATTAATTGCTTCGTATTATTTCAAGAGAATTATTTGTTTTTTTAGTTCCAGAGTTGGAACTGAGTTATGACTTGTCGTATAGAGTAACAATAATAATATTATTTATATTATCATACTCGTATATTAATAATAATAATAATATTATTATTATTATTTATATTATCATACTCGTATATTAATTATTATTATTTATATTTATCATACTTGTATGTTAATAATAATAATATTATTATTTATATTATCATACTTTGTTAATAATAATAATATTATTATTTATATTATCATACTTTGTATGTTAATAATAATAATAATAATAATAAATAATAGCAAATTATTTTACCCGCAGTGTATATATAAATAATATTAATTTTAAATTTTTTTGCCAACATCCGAAAAAATGACGTACGTACAAATGATCATATTATTAATTTTTATATTAAAAATTCCATTTTTGAATTAATCAAATTACTTTATTCAATGATGTTACACAAAGATTTTTTTTATCAGATATTTGGCTGA